TGCATCTCCTGCAAGTAAAGAAAACTTTGCTTCTGCAGGGAGGCACAAATCTCTATTTCCAGAGGGAAAACGACAACTTTAGGTGACTTTCCAAAGTTCTCAGAGGCCTTTACTAGTCATGTGAAGGCCTGAATTCTGTCAACACAGTTCCCAGGCATGGCACATGCAAAGCAAGCCTTCCTCTTCACCAGGAACTGTAGAATGGTTTGGGTTGGAAGGAAACTTAAAGCCCATCTAGCTCCACTCCCCTTCCACAGGAAGGGCCACCTTCCACTAGGCCAAGTTGCTCAGAACCCCATCCAGCCTGGCCTTGAACACTTCCAGAGATGGAGCACTTTTCTGGGCAACCTGCTCCAGTGCCTCACCACCCTCACAGCAAAGAATTTCTTCCTAATACCTCAACTAAACTTACTGTCAGTAAAAAACCATTATTCTCCCTTCTCCTTCATGTCCTTGTTGAAAGTCTCTCTCTAGCTCTCTTGTAGGGCCCTTATGGGTACTGCAAGTTGATCTTAAGGTCTCCCTGGAACCTTCTCCAGGCTCAGCATCCCCAACTCCCTCAGCCTGTCTTCACAGGAGAGGTGCTCCATCCCTCTGATCATCTTGGTGGCCTCCTCTGGACTCCCTCCAACAGGTCCATGTCCTTCCTGTGCTGGCACCCCAGAGCTGGATGCAGCACTGCAGGTGGGGTCTCACCAGAGCAAAGGGTCAGAATCCTCTCCCTCTCCCTGCTGGCCACGCTGCTTTGGATGCAGCCCAAATCTGCATCTTGTTTTCTGGGTTGCAAAGGCACATTTTGCTGGATCACACCCAGCTCCTCATCCATTAACACCCCCAAATGCTTCTCCTTAGGGATGCTCATCTGCCCAGCCTGTATTTTGCTTAGGACTGCTGCAACATATCCAGGACCTCAGATGAGTCAAGTCTGGGGAGAGGTAATTCAGCAGCTCCCCAAGGAGAGAAGGAAATCCTTAAGATTTCCAAATGAGAAAGTCTTGAGAGCAGAAAAAGGATTCCTCTTGCCTCTGTAATTTTGCTACACTACAAAAATCTGGTCACTGTGACATGACTGCTTTTTCCATTTCCTTTCATTGTGAAAGGCAGACTGGGGCAGGGGGTATCTGAGAAGCCAGAGGAATTATATTCCCTTAGTAAAGCAAAAGCGCGAGTTTTATCTCGACCTATGTGGTCGAGCTGTCCCAGGGCGAGCAGAAATATGATCGCCTTCATTAAAAAACTGCCCTGTCTGCACAAAGCAAACATCTTGGCTGCCTCAGAAACCTCTCCAGATGACAGTGCAGAAGTGATATGTTACAGAACCAGAGCTGCTTTTTCAACCAGGATGGGAATAGATAAAAATTTTGACTTGTATTCCGGTCAGTCAGCAGTTCCTTATGATACTGCTCAAAAATCTGTTCCACTGGTCATCCCCTTTTAATAGTGCAAGGGAAGAGAACAAGGTGCAGCATGCAGGAATTATCTGCAGCTGCAGCCACCACAGCAGCACTGCCTGGCACCCCAGGCCACTTGCAGGTCCCCCAGTGCTGCTGCTGGGTCCCCACCTCTGGTCTCAGATGTCCTCCTGCATCCCCTCCTGCTCATGCAGACACCCCAGGCAGCTGTGGATGCCCAATGAACAGACCAAACTCTCCAGGCTCACAGCTATACATTCCTGGGACCACGGCAAGGGAAAGCCTTCTGTTCACTGGGCTTCCTCTCTGCAGCCCAGAGCCAAAGACAGCCAATAACCTCCATCAAGCCAATAGGATGGGAACAATGTTTCTTTCCAGCACCAGAAGGCATTTAGATCTGGGTGTGGGGGAGGAATCCCACTGGCACCCCCTGAAGGTGACCTGTGCCATTTTTACCAGGATATAACACACACTTCTAAGGATGAACACTTGTGACTAGTTAGAAGCAAGGGAAGCTGCCAAGAGGAACAAGCTGAGTAGATCCTGGGAGAAGTAACCATGTGGCAACGGGAAGGCAGGGTGGGCAAACCCACAGCGTGGAGCAAAGCTCCAGAAGTGCTCCATTCCTGAAGGTGTTGGCAGGGGCAGCCTATTTTCAGGAAGAGTAGCACAGCAGAAGCTGGTGTGAGGAGCACGCTATCCTGATGGCTGGCCACCAAACCCACCAGCACCCAGCAGAACAGGATACTCACCAGAATGTGGGATGAGTTGGGTGTGGGTTGTGGGGAAGGGAGCAACTGCCTTTGCTGAGGCTTGAACAGCTTAATGCCAGGAAACAGAGATGTTTGCACTGGAGAAAAATCAACTGCATTGAGAAAGGCTTGGAAACCCAAGAACTCTGTGCAAAACCAGCCTCATCAGGTAGTCCACAGGGAAAAGTACATCCTTCCCTTGGGCACTAACACAGCCTGCCCTTACTACCCACAGCTAAATTGGCCTGACCATGTTGCACAAACAGGAAAATGAACCCTTCATGTATTGGCTTCCTCCACTTCAGCTACAATTTCTCCTTATTGTCAAAGCATGAACCAGTGATCCAGCCCAATTCTTGACTTCTATATTGATTTATCTGTATTGAAACTTTAAAAGCATTATTTTAAGCCATTTATATTTAAATCAGATTGAGGGGTTTCTTGAATCAATGAAGACAAAAGCAATCCTCTAACAATTATGAATCTCTTATGCTTCCTGTGGAAATTACAAAGAGGAAATGTAGATTTGCCTCATTCCCTGAGGTGCCCAATTGAGGAATGGTTTTGGCAGCCTAACTACAAGAGTACTCTGGTGAAACAGTGTCACCTGAACCAAAGAGGTCCAACATGTGGTCTTTCAAGGAGTTAGGGTATCAGCAGCTCACTGCTTATCAAATGGGAAAACTGCAGTGAAAGCCAAAAGAACTACAACATCCCCTCAAAACTTTGTATTTCATGCTGGAAGCAGCAATGCACAAAAAAAAACATCCATTGCAGTCAGCCAGATAAGTTACCCAATGTGGGAATGTATTTTATACCAGAAGAAAATCCTAAGTTTGAAGTCTTTACTCACTTCTTCATATATAAAAATATAAATGCATTTTCATACCTCTATTTATCTAAAATGAAATATACCTATCCCCCATATTTAAGTGCAATTGCACATTCAACAGGGCAGTTTCCAGTGCCACCCTTGGCACGAGCAGGATTATTTTCTCTCCCTCACTACCTCTTTCACAGAACATACATTAAGCTGAATGGAGATCTTCATTCTCATATGAAAGCAGCAAAATTTCCAGTCCCACAATTACCTGAGACTGTTATTGAAGCAACTCCTGATACAAAACACCCAACACATGCACAGAACTGCTCCTTAACAGCTCTTGTTCTGTGCCTCTGCAGAGCAGGCGGTGTTTCCTGCACACTTTAAAAGAAACAGGAGACAAGTCCAGTATTATCCAGTGACACCTGGATGCTACAGGTTTCTGGCTGATCCACATACACACCACAAAACCTCTGCTGCATGTGCTTGGAGTTCTGACACTAATTCAGGGAAATTTTAGTACCCAAATATTAGCAAGTAAAATGAGCTTTGGCTTTGCAGAAATCACATTTAAAATATGTTTTGTTCAGTGGTAGAAAAAAAACTGACAAACTTGGGCTGTCTCATAGTGCTTCTTTAGCTTACAGATTTTGTATTGGCTACACAGCTACTGTACTACAGAGGTTCACACATCATTCTCAATTTTACTTTTTTGATACAAAAGCCCTAGTGCAGCCCAAACTCACCAAGAAAAGCCAAAGTATTTAAAAAAAAAAGTTGAGGTGACAGAAATCTTCCCCAAAAGGGCAATACTCTATTTCAGAAGAGAACACCAAACACATGCTCTGCTTTTTCATTCAAATACAAATGTCATGTAATGGATTACATTGCCCAGAGAAGCTGTGGATGCCCCATCCCTGGCAGTGCTCAAGGCCAGGCTGGATGGAGCTTTGAGCAGCCTGGTATAGTGGAAGGTGTCCCAGTCCATGATGTGGGAGCTGGAACTAAACCTAAAGAACCCTTCCAACCCAAATCATTCCATGATTCTACGATTAATAGAGAAGATCTAACAAGCTTATACAAGTTTCAGATCACCCGAGTGTGAGAGGCTAGAGTGTAACAGTGAGGAGAATGAAGACCAGCATAGTGAAACCAAGTTTCCTGATGAATGACATCTCTATTTCAGAGCAAATGGGGATGTTGAAGTACCAGCATATACCCACATGGAGTGCATCCTCAGTTTTGATGAGTCTAAACAGCAGTTCAGAATTCTGTCCCAGATGGTAACTCTTACCTAGTTATTAAATTATTCAATTTATTGAATTAGACTGAAACTTGAGGGGCAGATGCAGGCAGTGTACATCCTCTGAGAAGTATCACAGACCAGATTTTACAATTCTGTTTACTTGCAAGGGAAAGAAATGCCCACTTACTGATACTCAGTTGTCTTCTCTGAAAGAGATAGACAGAATATCCGAAATGAGTTACAAAGAGGCCTTCAGGCAGGCTACTGAAAATGCAATTTCTTTGAGAAGCTAGCTGAATAAATCATATTTCTGTAATCATAACTCATGTAAAAAAAATGAGCAGAAAGAGTGGTAACAGGGATAATACAGGGAACATCTGCAAAACAAAGATATTCTTCATTATTCCATAGGCAAACTAATATAAGAAATCCCCATAAATTTTTAACAACCTACAAATGTGCTGTTTCCCACCCATTCACCAGATCCTCCTAAAAGCTTGCAGAAATGTCCAGGAGAAGCAGGACTGCTGGAAGGGGAGCTGGTGGAAACAGCACAGGCTCTGCAGGCACTTGGTGCCCTCTCCTGGGCACGACAGAAAGATCCTTGTACAGCCAGTTCAGAGCATGGCCACGGAAATGGGGTCTTCTACATCTTAAACTGATTCTTCAGATGAAATAAAAGGTACAGGTCAATCAGAGAGAAAATTCACACATTTCCAGAGAAGTACTCAGCTGTTCAACTCCATCACAATTCCTGACACAGCAGCATGTTACATCACAACATTGTTTATTATGTAACTTTTTACAATACAAACAAAAATACAGAAATGCAGTATATGAATACAGCTAAATGCAAAATGGTGATGTTTTTCTCGAGGCCATATTCCCATTTCTAGTAAAATAAAGAAAGACTGCACACAGGTAGAAACAGGTTGGTAGTTAACTCCACAATTTTGCCTAGAAATGACCTATAAATGCGTTTTCCTGCTACTTACCATAAAATGTAAAAAGGGAGTTAAAGGAAAGTTTTACTCACTGGTTCCTACCATATGAAAGAAGCTATATTCTATTTAGGAGGGCCAATATATGGAAAAATATCTAAATTAAATGTTATTACAAAAAATGAAGCAGTAATGAGATCCTTCTGGCTAAAGAAGTTACTAAATGAGAATAGCATATATTTAAAGAATCCAAAACATAAAAGGGTTGTTATAAAAAGCTTAGGTGCACTGTAAGCTTACAACTTTTGTTTTTCCATGTGTCCTTTTAAACAATGGAAGTGTCAAAAATAGGGTCAACTGTGTTAGACTAAATTACATTATTGTATATGCTGCACTGAATGGAATTTTTATTATAATAATAGAGAAGCATTGTTTGCATCATATTATGGCAATTCATCCTCACTAAAAACCGTCTAGAGTCCTGCATTTTTTGATATCCTGTAAACCGTCAAACCACCAGAACATGATTGTACAACAGTAAAATGTTTTCTTTTGCATTAAAATGACACCTGTTTAAAAAAAAAAGAATGAAAAAAGGTACTTAGAGCTGTTATTTTTCCAAGTACACAACACCCTAGACAATTCAAGGCATCTCATTCTCCATCAAAATTAACAAAAATTTGTCATGCTGTTAAATCCATTACTATGGATACGACTGGTGCAAAATTGGTCAAACGGATCCAACAAACACTGATGTCCAGGCTGGCATATTGGCAACTAATACATAACTGGTGGTCAAAGTGATGCATTTAAAATATCTTCCCTTTCTTCTTATTCTTTTCCAAGGTTCTAAAATGACATAAAAAAAAGTTTGTTAATGCATACAAGTTGTTTTGGTTTTTTTTTAATTATATACACCTTTTAAAACGACATTTTAATAACGCTTTTACTGGTTACAACACAAAGGATGAAACTTACTGAGTACACAGTACTTGTACTGTGTGAATCAAGCAGTGCAGTTATCACCAGATTTCCCCTCCCGAGGACTGAGGGAATTAAATCTTTTAATTCTCAGAACCTTAATTCCTCATCCCCCAGAAGTCTGATGCGATTTATCAATATAAACATTTATTTATTTACATAAATATATCTAGGTGTAGGTACCATGTTTTTGCAGGCTAAAACCTGCTTCAGAGGCTAATAATCTTCCCACAATTGCTGAAATATGGTAATTTGTAACTAAAAGCAGTTCAAGATTTTTTTGGCTTTTAAGTGACACCTCCATAGCGGTCAACAACCATGGATGGACAATTACTGTCTCAAAAAGCTACAGAATTTTTACTGTGAACTGCAGGACAAGATCCAATTTACCTGGAAGAATTCTGTTGTTCCAAAATACGTTGTTGAGCCTCCCAGTTCGCTTTCTCATCCTCAAATTGACGACGCTTTTCCTCCAATTCTTTGTGCTGTGCCTCCAAATTCTTTTTCATTTGCTCATGGCGTCGCTGCAGCTGTAGAAGATTATGAACAGATTCAGTAGGTGCAGAAAACACAGCAACTTTTGGAACTGTACTAACAAACATCAGCAACCAAACTTACTAATATAACAAAAGTATGTATTCTATCTTTCTTTAGAGAAAGTAGCTCAGGCTAAAAACTCTAAGGTGATAGATATTGCCAGTAACAGAAACCAAAAGGTTATTAATCCCATAGCTTCATTTTACAGTTAACAGAAAATACCCCAAATGATACCCAGTTTACAAACACAATTTGCAAGCAGCTATGTTTGGCAAATGAAAGAAAATTTAAAAATACTTTGGTATTTGACACAAACACTAAGCAGCAAATTGCAGAGCATTTCAGTATCACAAATGCATAAAACAGCAGCATCTTTGACTTTCTGCGGGGGGGGGGGGGGGCAAACACTAAGCAGCAAATTGCAGAGCATTTGAGTATCACAAATGCATAAAACAACAGCATCTTTGACTTTCTGTGGGGGGTGAAAAAATCCCAAAATATTGATTTCATCTTACAGCATTAACTATACAATGGATCTATTTAGAAAAAAAAATATTAAGGAGATTAGTTTATTCACTAATTAAATGAATTAGTATTATTGAGGATTCATCCTACAGCATTAACTATATAATGGAACTATTTAGAAAAAAAATATTAAGGAGATTAATTTATTCACTAATTAAATGAATTAGTATTATTGAGGAAGTGAATTGTCTACATTCCAAAACAGAATGAGAATTCTCTCCTGCAAGTTGTTGGGACAGACTGATAATCAAATGTGTTGTATGTGAGGACGGAAACAGTTGTTAGAAGTGATTTCTTTAGTGTGGTGTAGTTTTTTTGAATTGAGTTAAATCATAGAATGGTTTGGGCTTGGAAACAGTTGTTAGAAGTGATTCCTTTAGTGTGGTGTAATGTTTTTTTGAATTGAGTTAAATCATAGAATGGTTTGGGCTGGAAGGGATCTTTAAGATCATTTAACTTCATCCCTCTTGCCAAGGGCAGGGACCTGGATGCTCAAAGTCCCATCTGGCCTGGCCTTGAACATGTCCAGGGTTGGGGTACCCACAACTTCGCTGGACAACCTGTTCCAGTGCCTCACCACTTTCATAATAAAGAACTTTCTCCTAATATCTGATCTAAACCTACTTTTTTTCCATTTAGAGCCATTCCCCTAGTCCTGTCACTCCATACCCCTGTAAATAGTCCTTCTCCATCTTTCTTGTTGGGTCCCTTCAATCCTGGAAGGCCACGATTAGGCCACCACAATATGTCCAGGGTTGGGGTACCCACAACTTCTCTGGACAACCTGTTCCAGTGCCTCACCACTTTCATAATAAAGAACTTTCCCCTAATACCTGATCTAAACCTACTTTCTTTCCATTTAGAGCCATTCCCCTAGTCCTGTCACTCCATACCCCTGTAAATAGTCCTTCTCCATCTTTCTTGTTGGGTCCCTTCAATCCTGGAAGGCCACGATTAGGCCACCACAAAGCCTCCTCTTTTCCAGGCTGAATAATCCCAATTCTCTTAGCCTTCACTCTTAGAAGAGCTGCTCCATCCCTCTAATTGTCTTGCTGGCCTCCTCTGGACTCACTGCAACAGGTCCATGTCCTTCTGTGCTGAGACCCCAGAGCTGGATGCAGCCCTGCAGGTGGGGTCTCACCACAGTGGAGTAGAGAGGCAGAATCCCCTCCCCTCCTCAACCCGATGTCCACACTTCAGAGAAAGTGATATAAAACTTCCTCTTTCCTTACTTTCCTGCATAACCCTGTTTTACACAGCCCTTGAAAACCTATTTCCTTTTACACATTTTTACATGGCACTGTCTGTTGCCTACTTTTCTACATTTACATAAATACAACAGAAGTTACAAAGCCATGAATGGTGAAGAAAAAAGAAGAATGAATTGCATGAACATAAAAAAACTGGTATCACAGGATAATTCAGCCAAAAAGTCATAAGAAAGCCAGAAGTATTTTTTTATTTCATATAACAAGGAGAATGTGGACACCAAAAGTATTAAAGGATTCAAAAAGATTCAAGACAGAAATCAAAGGAAGGATAAATCAAGTGGCTACAAAAACCATGATCCAGATAGAACATAAAGCTTTAAAATCCTCAAACTGCTGACTGGCACATCTTACTATTCACATCCCTATCTATTCACTTCTCAAAAAAAAAAAAAAAAATCTAGATGAATTTTTTTTCTTTGATCCAGTATGCCTTGGCACCTTGCAGAGCCTAGGCTGCCAAGCATTTCAGCTACCCTTCCAAGTTTCCTCATTTTTCCTCACATTTGGAGACAAACTTTCTTAAGGAACTTTGACAGTTCTGAATTTCTCTATTAGGCTTCTTGTGAGAAACTGCTTTCCCAAAACTTAAAAAATTACTTAATTTTTTACTTAAGAAGTTTTACCTAAACCTCTAATTGTAACAGTCCCTTAAAAAGATCATTTGCATAGCTCCCTGAAGCCTGTAAAAGAACTGGTTTGACTGTGAGGACTTCACCTGGAGATGACAGAAATAATTAGAGTTAAGTATCCACAGAATTTGTTCAAATGGTACCAGAACACTGACAAAACCAAATCCCTGACTCTTCCTTAGCCTAGTAATTCTCATTTAGGTGAGATGCCTATAGGCATTGTGTCCACTTCCTGAAATGCCTTTTCAATACACACAACAAATAATCATTATTCCATTAGCTTATGTAAGCCATACAAGTCTCAGGAACTTTTAAAATCACATGGAAGATTAAGCACAAAATATTCCAAAGAAAACGGAGAAGAAGAGGGTAAAGGAAGTTAAGGAGTATTTTAACATGCTATGACTAAAAATAAAAATAGAATGCATGTGAACATTAAAATTACATTTTAAGTTTAGACTGATACCATTTCAGCAAAGGCAAAAAGCTGAGAAGGAAGAACGCTGTTGTATTTACACATAAAAACCAACTATGGAATCAATTATGCTGCAAAGTATTGGCAAAAAGTCCCATCTCTACACTTGTTCAGCCTCAAGTTATATTGGTGTTTAAAACATTTTGATTACCTCAGCTTCAGAGTCCTTCAGTTTCTGAACTTTTTCTTTGACTTTCATCTCAAACACCTGTTCCATTTCCATTTCCATTTTCTTCATTTTGGCTACGTGCTCCCTCCTTTCCTCCTCCATCTGTGCCAATGGGCTCCTGCCATAAATCCAGAAGAAGCAGTTAGCTAGTAAGAACTTTTTTCCCTGTCTGTTACATTAGGACATCTGGAAAAAGCAAGATAAAAATGCTGAAGCAGTAACATAAACACACTGCTGTAGGCACTGCTAGCTTAAATTCAATTTACATTATTATACTAACTGTTTAGATAAGCTTTACTCAAAAAAGATATTTCATACAATGTCTTTTCCTCCCCCATGATTGATTTATACTACATTTAGGTTAACAGAAACTCCTGATTTTCTATATGTAGAACCACCTGGTCATGGGAAGAGAGGAAATCAATGTTAAAACAAGAAAAAGAAAATTAGCATCTTCCAAGTTATCTTCAGGCATCTTTTTCTTCCCCATAATTCAAATATATAAAAAATTAATGGATATAATAAGAAAATTAGGAGCACTGCAGACTAAAGCTCTATTTTCTCTCTAGATCTTCATTATTCTCAAGTGAGACCAAGAAACACTTAACATTGCAACTGTGTTGAATGCTGTGGTCATACTTTTAAAGAGAGATCAGCTTTGCAAAAAAGGTCTGGGCAACTGAAAATCAATATTTCAAGGTGTTAGTTGGAAGGTTTTCCTTTAGAAAGCTACTAATAAATGTAATGTACAAAAATAACGTACATTATTTTTATTTTTTCCGTATACTTCATGGTATACTTTCCTGGATTGTACTGAATTTTTAAAGCTGTATAAGCCTGCTATCCATGTTGTGGTGATACAAGTTTTAAACAGTAAGTTTCACTGTAAACATCTAATAAAACAGGATGATTGAGATCTAGTGATGATTGCTACACAGTTTTCTTAAGACTCTGCTGATCCACAAAGAGCAATCATACCAAATCACTGGCCTCTTATTTCAGTTTTGAGTATCTATGGCTTAAAAGGACAAAGTTTTAGCTATTGTGTTGGGGAAAAAACTGACTATATTTAGAATTGTTACAATTAATCAGCAGAAGATATCTAATGTATATATTAAACTGAATGTGAATTAATAGTTGCAACACTTGGACTTGTGAGTAAAATGCTGTATAATATACAGAACTGAAATTGATCTTCAGTTTAATTTTTACTTTAGTCCTTCAAAAGCCCAACTGCTAGCAATCTTTTACAAGGAAAAAATTAATGGTTAAACACAGGTGAGGTACAATAATGCAGAAAATTACTAAGGAAGTGAAAGAAGAGGTGAGTAGCAGTACTTGTGGAAGCTAAGCATCTGTCAAAACAATACTATTTTCTTCTAGAGATGTAAAGTTCTCAAATGCATCTGCTCTTCAAAAATTAATCTACAAACAAGAATAAATATTGAGGAATCATTGCTGCAGTTTCAACTTGAAAGAGGTGCAGAACTGTCCTTTGATTGAAAACTCAGTAAATCCAATGGGGATGCCATGCAAGCTGTATTTTGAGAAAGTGGTAAAAATCAGTCTGCACAGAAAATCTGATTAACCGACAAGTGAGCATCTACAGCTGAGAACTTTACAACATAGGTCACAACTGGTTTTATTAGGTCCTAAGTATGTGACACAGATAAAAGCACATCACTCTGTATTTCAGGACAAAATGATACAAGGGATTTAAACAAAAACAAACAAAAAACCAGACACAAACACAAAAAAATAGCTGAAGAAAAAAAAAACCACAAATCACTAAACAAAGATGTAAAACATTTAACTGATTTCAGAGGACATGTGCTCTAATAAGTCCTCTAAGTTATTCTGCAAAAATTAAAAATTATTCTAGATATGTGCAAAGAATCTCTGCAAGCAGGGAATAAGATAAAATTGTGGTCAAAAATTACTAAAGTTACTAAATCTCCAATTCAATGAAGAATTGCAAATTTACAGGTAAGGATAAAAATTCCACTAATTCTTTATAAGTATCTATATAAAGATGACTGAGCTATGGATAGAAACTGGGGGAATTCCATAATTTATGCACTTCTACTGATTTTTGAAATTTGACCAAATTTGACTTGAATCTTAGCCAAAAGGTTTCTAAAGAGGATGGCTTTTTACAGAGGTATTTATCACTGTAAGCATTTATAAATTCCTAAACTTTACAGTAGCACATCTTTAGGAAAAAAAAACCAAACCAACTGCTAGTGGAAAAAACAATGCCAAGAGTGGGATACCAGGAAACTGTTTTAAATTTGAAACATCAAACAGTGAAATCCTTTTTGTGTTTATAGAATTTTTGTCTTAAATTTTTTGGAAAAATTTAAATCACCACTTACATGCCTTCAACTGTGTCAAATCTAAAAAACAAAAAATACAGAGGCTTAGCTTAGCATGCTTAAATAAAACCACAAAACCAAAAAGCAATAATTTAAAAAAGTAAATTCAATATTATTAGATTCCTAAAGCTAATTATGTGCTCCCCAAAAGCAAATTTTTTCCTACTAAAGGGAAACAATTGTTAGTTAAAGCTTGTTATATTTATTTCAAATTCAGTTAGTCCATCACTACATCATGTCAGTATTAACGCGGGTTTGATGTGCAGATGCTTTCAGGAACACTTTTCCTACAACATCTATGCTTTTAAATAGATTTTATATATTTTAGTGACACGAACCACCACTTGCTCTATACAAGCATTCGGAAACCAATGCCACCTGGAGGCTCATCTCCTCGTTTAGAATATGCCAGCCAGCAGACCCGAGTACGGAAGGGCCGGGAACGCTCCGAGGCCGCGGGAGGAGCGCTTGGCTCCCACGGCCAGCAGAGGTCTCGGCGGCGGCCCGGCTGCAGCGTCACCTCCCCGGGCACCGGGATGCTGCAGCCGAGCGCAAAACGGGCTGGAAACCAGCTCTGAGCTCACCATCCTCTCACATGGCCTTCAGGCCGTCAGGGCTGTGTCACAGAACCCGCCAAGAACACAGGCAAAAGGAGCTGGAAGTGGCCAGGCTTAGCAGTCAGAGGGACTCGAGCACTGTGTGTTTTGTTACCCTGGATCAATGATGGGTAAGACCCATCTTTACGGTGTACAATATGACTTTCAATAAAAATAAGATTTTACTTTTAAATTCACTGAAGATAGCAGCTTCATACAGCAAACCAAAAAGATTTCTCGACTTACAACATCTGAATTTCAGAGCAAATGCCAATTTTCTCGCATGTCACATAGTGCACATGCAAAACTCCAATTACCACGTGATTTAAAGAGAAGTTATCTACATATATGAAGACCACCTTGACATTTCATTTTTTAATGGTTAGCATGATATTGAAACTTTGACAAATCAGACTAAACCTAAAATACAAAAAAATCCTCCATAACCATGGAAAATATATGCTTTGGATTGTTCCTAAGTTAACAAGTTACTTACAGAACAGTCAAAAGTTTCTGTATCTCACACAGAGATACAGAACAGTCAAGTTTCACCAAATCAGAGTTAAGATTATTAACTGGACAGAAAAATACTTCAATTAATCTGCACAGTATTATTAAAACTTGTAGCACATACTTCTATTTGTTTTCACTTAGCATTTTTGTCTAAAGAAATATGTTAACAGCTGCATGAAAAACTGAGATCTGCTAGGATCATAAAAATACAGCTGTTTTAAAGCTACAAAAGGTCAGTCCAACAGCTCCAGCAGCTGCCAGCAGGAGATACTTTTGGAAAAGTACAAGCACCACTGCATGTCCCCTGGTATGTCTGCCCTCCCAGTCTCAAAAAACCAGCAGCTTAGGAGTTTCCAGAGCCAGGGGGTGTATCTGTGTTTAACCATATGTTTGTAATACCACCAGAGAGCATCAGAGCACGTCTCCATTCTCACACAGAGATACAGGCTCTGTCTCCCGTGCAAGAATCGATGTTGCCCCCATTTGAGACACAGACACTTCTTTCAAAAGGCCAGCAGGCAAGCATAAAATTCCTAAGGGAGGCACAGATAAACTGTTAATAACTGTTCCTCCCCCTCAGTTTCCAGGAGGCACATGGTTATTAGGAAGATTTCTTCTATGCTGCTTGAACTACACTAGATTAAAAAACCAAAAGCTACAAAAACACACTGAAGTAAAAAATGCATGTTAAAGCTTAAAAAAAACCCCAAAAATAACAAACTGCAACTCAACATATGGTTAAGGTAAAAACAGAAAAATAGCATCAGCTGCTTCATAACCAGCACATGCAATCAAAAATTTCATGCATTTACTTACTAAGCCACCCTGTGCTCTGGGGAACAAAATCTTACAAAATGTCCAAAATAGTCTTTGTAAGTTTGCAATATACTTTGCCATCTTTCAGATGGCTGAATCAAACTGCAATTATTTACTCATTCTCTTGAACAAAAAAAAACCCTGATAGCAAAGAGCACCAATTGTATTTATTCATCTCTGAGCTGCAGTACTGCAGTGCTCCAAGTAAGAGATTTCTAAAGGAGAAAATAGTTCTAGAAAGCACATTCACCTGGAAATAGTCAGGTGGGACAGCACAGTGATCTGAAGTGACAGGAGATGCAAAGTGAGCATGCTTCAGAAAGCAAAGTAATTCCAGACCCTCATAGTGTAGGTTCTGGCTCAAAGGGAAGTATCAAGAATGCTATCAGAAACTGAGTGGGGTGGAGGGGTGAATGAAGTTCACAAAGAGTTTTGAAACCTACTCATATATGTATTTTTGTATAAAGTAACATCTTACTGTGTCTGCAATATGGGAACAAAAAATAATTTTAAATAGTGACTCTGTTGTTATTTTTAAGAATGCAGAATAACCAGTCCTCTTACATGGACGAGGTAACAGACTGAGTTTGTAGGTGCAGACTAACACAAATCTAAGCAGGCACAAAACAAAAATGGTAAAAGTGCTGTCAATAAAATTCAATTTTCCAGATCTAAGGAAAACATACTAAGATTTTGAAAGGTATATAAGAAACCCCAGCATTTAACAACACACACAGAAAAATGTGAACAACTTCCTTTGATAGTCCAAATAACAATGGAGGGGGGGAAAAGTTTCACTTTTCAGCACAGTAATAGCAAATAATAATACAGTAAAAAGCACACTAATAGCAAGTTAGAAGTCCTGGAGAAAATGCACAATTGCACAATTTTCTCTTCTGCACTCCTCTTACTACATTTTCATCTGACATACTTGCAATGTGCACTCAGAAGCCTTGAGTCAGGGATTACAAGATGGCAAGAAACATGACAGTGAGAAGAAGTAACCACAGTGTTATGGACACATATATTTGAAAACTAGTATTTTTAAGACTTGACCTCATTAGAAACACATCTTAAGTGCAAGTACACTTCTAAAGAGTTGCTATAACTGACATAAACTACCACATTTTTTGTCAGTTATGAGCAGGGAAGTCTCATGTAGACTCACACTAGATGAAACTAAATCATGTCCACGTAAATCATTCCCTCACAACTTTTAAACCATTAAGAGAACGTAGAATAGACATTTCTTTAGTGAAAAATGGTTTTGTAGGTCTCATATGGATGCAAATAGCAGGTATTTCCAACTATTTTCAGGGATCTTTTTCAGGAAGAACAGCTGTATTTTTGCATACCATTAGCTGAAAAGAACACTACCCTATATTTTGATTGAGAAATTTGTACTTAAATATAGTACAAAAAAAGAGCACCATTAATTACTAATTATTTAATCACTAATTACTGTTGATGCAGTTGCTACATGCAGAGCCGAATATCTGAATGTAGCTATTCTTAAACTGCATTATACAATTCAGAATACAGTAGAGCCTAGTTTTAAATCTTTCAGTAACTTCATCAGGTTGGCAAATAATTTCTTGTCAGAGGTAATAAAAATGACATATCAGAGTGTCGAAAAAACAGCCACAAAAGCCCCCAAACACTGCATTGCAACTCCCTTCTCACAAAAGATAATGATGTTGCAATAATCCCCCTGCCATGATAAGCAGCCATATGAGTTGCTAGAGCAGCATTTCAAAGATGACAGTAGCAGGTCTGCTTTTTCAGAGTTTCTAAATAAATATAAACCCATTCTTCTCAAAAACATCCCTGACACAGTAGTATTGATCATTCATGCAGAAGAACCAAAAATTCCACAAATAACTTCTAACCTAAAATAGAAACTAATGCACAAGAACTTTGCAGTATCAGTGAAATAGAACACTGAGTAAATGTAACAATTCTCTTCAAAACTGAATCTACTATTTAGCATGTTTAGTGAAACTGGTGTCAATCTTAATGAAAGAGGAAAAAATCCCAAATTACAAGTGAACAAGAGGCTGTCTCCTTTCAGAGACAGCAACGAGACAACTGACTGAAGGCTATATACTATACATACAAACCCACCGGCATCCCTCCCCAAGAAACCCAAAACTGAAAATATCACCACACATTCACCAAACCAGTCAACCAAAAAAAGGAAAGTAAAAAGATTATAGTGCAATACAGCCTTAACAGGAACTTACTTTGTTAGCTGCCCTTTATTTTTGTTGTTGTCAACACCGTTGTATGTAACAGCTGCCAGTTTTCTGCTTCTGTAGTTCTCATAATGTACATTGTTAGTAACATCCTTCAGGTCCTGCATATGAGTTCTGTCAATAAGTGTAATTTATCAGCTTAGTGCACAAATACAAAATACTATCTGAAAAATCAGTCCCTGTTGATTTTTTAGATTGACTTGAATTTAATTATATCCCTCCATTAATGTTCCATTTCCCACAATGTTTTTACTCTGTCATTGAAACTGGAGCTCTCAAGACAGCAAAGGCACAGAAACACCAGGTTATTTTACACCAAACTATCAAAAGCTTGCAATACTCCAAACACTAACTTAAAGGATCAGTCTTTGGAAAGTTGAGTTCTCTGGAAAAACTTGCAGGTATTTGATAGGCAGATAAGGAAACTGTATATTACTACTGTAGTAGGTGAGAAAAAGCATGTCAGGCAAGACAGGATCAGTCTTAGGAAAGTTTGAGTTCTGTGGATAAACTTGCAGGTATTTGATAGGCAGATAAAGAAACTATATATTATTACTGTAGTAGGTGAGAAAAAGCATGTCAGTTTTTCAACAACAAGCCAAAACTTCCAAGTTTCTATCTTTTAATTCTACAAAAGCTAAATGTTAAGTTCAAGACTAAGCTGAAAGCATTCACTTCTTTTCATAATTGTCCATTGTCAGCTGGGAGAAAAGCAAAGCTTAGGAATCAAACTACCAGTTTTTACAGCAGATGGCAGCTAGTGGACTGCTAGGAGCACAGGACTCAGCACCTAACACAACAAAGCACAGGCAGTCTTGTTTTAGGTAAATTTTCAGTGATGAAGTTTTTAGAAAATGCCTACAACTACACAGACATCAGCACTAAGAGATAACTCAGGTTCCTATGGACTAGTAACAAATAACAGAAAAAGTAATCACAAAAAATTCACTACCAACACCACTGCTTGCTAACTATGTGGTTAAACAAGATAACTGCTTACAACTAAAAATATGGAAATTCATATGAACTCACTATCTCAAATTTCTTCTTCTCCAATATAGGACTTTCCAATCTCTCAGATATACCAGAAAACTTAACGTTACCTATCAGTTACCTACCTTATCAACATGTTCCTCAGAATTGTGAAGTCACAGTGTTCACCATTTTCAACTGCAAGAAGAAGTAAGCTTCTGTTGAGACGTCAACCAAAATGTGTGCTTTACAGAGAGGTAAGATGTCACCCGTCTACATTCATTCCAACACATTACTCCCACAGCCTTTCCTTACTCAAACAACATGTGTGTTAGCAGAAGGAAAGTATTAACATAACTATAATAATGCATCTTACTTGCAGAGTTCCTATGCTCCCCCAAGCCATACTGGCAAACTGTACTGAGTCAGTGCAGCAGAATAAGCTACCACAACAGAAGCACAGTTTTGCCAGTTTAACTGTTTCATCCTTTGGCTGCCTGATAGCACAGTTGTGTAAGGATCAGACACTAAGGGAAGACTTCAGTCTAGATCCAGCTATATCCAAAAACCTTTAAAAGACAGACTCAACCTGTTTGTCCCTGCCCAATAAGTTGCAGAAATCTCCATTTTAATTTTAATATAGATTGAGTTCTTCATTAATGAGGTAAAGGAAGGTTGCACACTGAATTTGATGCACCAACCTACAGATCAGAGAGCTGGCAGCTGTCATTATGATGTCATTATAAATGCCACCTATTCCACTGTGCCTATCACCCCGCTAAAGTAGCTGACGCTGTGAGTGGCATCTCCCTGAGAGATCATGAAATGACACTGGAGAAAAATGCATACTCCAGACCTCTCTGATGTGCAGACAGAGAAGGCAACACACAAAGCTCTTAGCACACACAAAAGAAAGGCATAGGGCAGGTTCCAATGTGCCTCTGAAGTAAACACAGACATTGTCATGGCAAGGAGGGAAAAAGCCAAGATGCCAGAATTAAATAGCCCAAGTAAATTCAGTGAATCCTACAGAAAAATGCAGAACATTGCCACTTTGTGTGTTGATTCTTGTATCTGCACTCCTGCATTATTTTATTCCATGGTTTTACACAGACTGGTAAATTCCACTCAGATGGTACATGAAGTCATACTCTCAAAAAAAGCATCATCTCTGTCCTAACAGACTGAAAGCCACTCCAAGAGGCATCTTTTAGTTAGGCTAGCTCTTCCTTTCCAAAAGTCATACAATTGTGAACATGAAACTGTTCAGAAATTTGTTTTAAAATACAGAAAATCAGCACGATTTTGCACATCTCCAAATGCCAACAGAAGAGCCTGAAATAAAGCTTGATCTTCTCTGATGCAGCTGGTTTTTACTTTCTGCCAAACCTCATTTCCTGCCAGACATGCACTTCAAAGTGTTACAGCATTCCTTTTTAAAGTCTTGGTCTATACACTGCTTGTTGGCTGGGGTTTTTTTGTCTGTTTTACACTGCATCCAATTTATAGTCCATTGCCCTCGGAAGGCAGAAATAGTGAGGGGAAAAAAAATTTACTCTTTATTCAATACATGCACACCAAAGGAAAAAACTCAGTGATGTGGAAAAACAGTCTAATAGTGATTGCTTTACTACAAAGTGTGGTGCAAGTCAGGCCATGTGGCATTTGAAATATATGAAAGGCATTAAAGTACAAGAAATGGCTGCCAGAAGAACATGCAGTTATCTTCAAGTCTCTACAGCAGTAGACAGTAAGTTTTAAATAAATTTTTAAAAAAATTAAAAGTACTCTATTCATTACCAGGTACCTTTCCGTTGCTATACCCCAGCACTTAAGACTCAGATGTTTTGGGAAAAATTGTATTTATGACAATTCAACTGATCAAATTAATATTTATAATGTGAGTACTCTAGAAAGAAGAATTTAGTACACAGGTTTTAGATTAAGATAATTAAGGAAAAAAAGGTAGAAAACAACTGTAATTTAAGTCACATCATTACCTGTAATAAATTACTACAGGTTTTACAATTTCTCACTGAGGCTTAAAGAGAAATCTGCTTGCCAAGTTACATGTTGCCAAAACCTTTACCTTGTTCCAATATTGTCAGAATAACAAAATTATATATTCAATTAATTTCCAGACCAAAGATCATTGAAATTAAGCATTTCAAACATTTCAAATACAGACTCATGTCTAGTAAGATTTAAATGGATTAAAAAAATCACAAGAAAGCCTTACCTTCTGCAACACCCCATGGGTACTGCCTTCCTCTAACTCTCTTGCCATTGACTTCAATGATCGTATTACTACCTACCACAGCAAGAGGTAAACGGTCCTACAAGATAAAGTATGACTTTAAAAATCAAAATCTGCTGTCAAAAGATACTTGAAAGCATGCCCGTGTATCAACTTGACATAAGCTAGGTCAGTGCTGTAACACTGCAATGCAGCTAACCCAAAAAAAAAGTGCAAGAATGGTGATGTTTATTGACCTCTGCCCAGTTTAATGACTTAAATATACACACACTCCTTCTGAATTCCTTATGCTGCTGCATTCTGTAAATCTAGTTAAGGAACAGACACTACTGTTACTTAGTAAGCTATGCAAGAGGCAAACCATTTCCTATTTATTCAACTGCACAATTATTTACCCAGTCATATACCCACTGGCTACAAGGGCTGTTACTTTGACTGGATCTTGTACCCAATTTTCAAAGGTTTGGCAAAGAACTACGTCAAGTTCTTGTTTTCAGCTGAACTCAGAATGCCTCCAGTGTAACAAGCAACAAAGGAGCCAAGAGCAGCTTCAAGGGGCAGAAAGGGACAGAGTACCAAGCTCAGTATTTTGCACTTTTGTCTTTGCTTTTATTCTGTTCTTCTCTAGGCTTAGTCCCAGAATGTCTTCCATTTTTTGTCCAATTTGTGTTTATCTATCCTAGGAGACTTCCCCAGTAAAAAAAAAATTAAAAGCTCTTACAAGCTGTTACAGCTACCGAACAAACAGAAGCAAGGCTCCAGAAACATACACAAGATGGACTCCAACATGAAAGAACAAACTGAAAACATGAGTAAACTAAGAAAAAGCCTTTCAACAGCCTGACAGTGCTTTTGATTTTCTTTGGTCATTTATCTCCATTAGGGTTTCAGTGTATCAATCAGCCAGAGAGCTATTAGGTGTAATGCACACACTTTATGCCACAGCATACCTCTGTCTGAAAGAAACCCCTTGACTCCTTCAAAACTCAGAACAAAAAAAAAAAAAATGGTAGGCTGTGGAGGGTGGATAGAAGTCAAATAAGGATGAATTTTAAAAAGGTGATCTTTAAGAGTTTATTAATGAGCATGTGATCTAGTGCCCTCATTCCAAATTTTAGCCATTGAAGGATTTAGATGACTTAATAATGTCATTCAATTGCTTCTGATAAGGAACACTGACCCTTAGGAGAGCTTTACATCTGATTTCTATACTCTAAACACTTTGGTGGGCTCTTCATTAATGACAAAATGCTTTTTAATCACATCCCCCCCTTACCCCTCCATAAGCACTTTTTCAAAAGAAAATTAGTTTACCTTTATCTTTTTAACAATCTTATTTTCTTCTTCATCATCTGTTTCTGGAAATTCATATATTTTAATTTTGTGTTCTTGGATTTCTTTCATTATCTAGAAACAAAATTATTATTTGTTTGTGGATTTCATACTTTATAACAGCCTGATTTTTTTTTTGCTACAGTCTGATTCTCCTCCTTTTGTTAGGTACATAAAATCCTTTACATTACCCTGACTTAAATTGTAACACAACTTGCACATTTAACACCATCAGGTAACCCCCAAAGGGTTCAGAGTGTGACCATCTCTCCTTAGCCAACAGCTAGAGCCTCCCAGCTACCAGAATATTATCCACCAACACAAGACAGCAAAAATTAATACTAGTTTTCTACAACAGGACAAACAAGAGGTTTACTCTAATGGTAATTCTGCCTGCGTAGAATTAGGTGCAAAACCTAATACAACAAACTGTCAGACCAGTTTTGCAATTGGGTTCTTTATAAAACCAGGTACTTGAACAAATAATTGCAGGTACACTTTATCCCTTTGAGTTCCCACAACAGCTACTGCTGTCACTCCTATTCTTTCCTGTTTCCATCTTACCTGAGCATCACTTGCTTGAAGCAGGATCACCTGCCTCTTTTAATAGAGCTTGTGACTGATGGACTAACTCTAGTAGTTAGCACTGCTGAAAAACACTCACAAGCAATAATGAAAATAAAGTGACTGTCCTGTTTTGATGCTATATTTGTTTGAAGGGTATTTTTAAAAAACAAGCTGATTAGTTTTGCAGAATTTTGGGATGGAAAAACATCAGACCATTTAGCTGACAGCTGCACTGCAGAGCCCTGGGGAATATTTCTGGCTCACAGGTTTGCCGTCTTAACAGAAGTTAAGTTTCCAAATCATGCAAGGACTTATTTTCAAAGTTTGGTTTGGGAAAGTCTCCCCTCTTTAACATCCACTCATTGATAAAGCTGCTTATATATTTAGAAATATTCTGTGTTCTACCATTTTTTCCTTTCTTTTTGTCATCTAATTTTTAATCTTATCTAATTAAATCAAGAGTTTTACACATAACACCTCTTAATGCCACCTTCTTTTCAGAACTCGGTGTTCTTCTAAACTAGGATTGGACAGAGTTTGATAAAAAAAAACTTTAAGTCTTGTCTTGTTCTGGGTCCTCCTTGTCCTCTTTATACAAGACTACAAAGCTTAACTGTTCTACTCTGATAATGCAGCTGAAAATAAAACATAAACCACTTGTAGACACTCACAGCAAATACATTCTACAAATACAAAGACATTGTATCAGTTGTATCAATGTTAGAATTATCTCACCATCTTTAAAATGCATTACCACACCCAAGTGTGAACAAGTTTACTGATTCTCATATAATACCTGAGGTATCTTTAATAATTACAGTGCATCAACATAGAAGTGGATACCTCAATGCAATCTGTAAAACTGTGATACTGTTGAATCAGTTGAACACCTTATTTTTTTAACACACTTCTGTTAGGTACCTAAATCCTGAAAGCTTCTTTCCTCCCTTACTGATTTTTATCTCAGCAGTGAATTATTTTACTTGCCAAGAAACATACTATACTTGAAACCTCTTCCCCTGAGGACAGAAACAAGATTATTTCACCAAGAATTATAATTAAATCTAGAGATATAAATTACTTAGCTTTGCTGTCTCAAGTTATTGCTTCAGGGTTTAAACTCTGCATGTAAGTTAAATCTCACCATTTCCATAGGGACCAACTTACTAAATTATCCTATGTTGTAAATATTAATTTTTTAACTCACCTGTTTTTTAAATTGTTGGCATTCCTCGGGTGTAAGTGTGTCTGCTTTGGCAATAAGTGGAATAATATTCACTTTTTCATGCAGGCGCTTCATAAACTCTATATCCAAAGGCTTAAGTCTGAAATACAGCATTAGAGCTTTGCAATTTATATTAATTAAACAAGATTGTACAAATGATGAGATTTGTCCTGACAACTACTCTTAAGACACTGATTTATGAGTGACAGATTACTGAAAATGAAAAGGTTACCTGCAATTATTACAGCAAATCCCCTAAATTGTATAATACAAGAGGAATAAGTGGGTAAGTTAGTATTTCTAGCAGTCATGAGACTTCTGCTAGCTGAAAGTACACTCATTTAAGCAAGAGGTAAGAACTCTATGAAGGTAATAAAGTTTGTGCTATTAGCTGGAAGACAATCCCACTTAAAGCCTGACTGATAAGAGCTCTGTTCACACATACACATACTGATTATGCTCTGTTCACACATACAGTTGCAGGTTCAGAAAATCATGTCTCAGTATGCTTCCTCTTGAGAGTGGGTTAGGAGACCTTTTCTTTTAAGATCTTAAGGTTGCTGAAGGTGGCAACCTCTGTAGCCTATGTACAAATGAATTAGAAATATCTCACCTCTAAATTGGTATGTAAAACAAAAAGACAGTTATGAAGGTGGATGACAGTGACAAAAACTAAATCATCATATGGGTAGAGTGGCTGTGTGGTAATATATTCACTGTCTTTGTGGATCAAAGTGGTCAGTATTTCCTGTTTCCTGAAGTAAAACTAGAGAGGTTTTGATGCATTAATGATAGCAAGTTTAGTTAGGCTTAAAGGATTCACTTAGAGGTTTTAAAAAGATTATTTTTCATCTTAAATTAGTATTAGGAACATTAAAAACAGACTAATTTGGTACTGAAATTTCTGAAAACCATACATAAAAGAATGAAGAAAATGTTCAAGAAGACATATTTAACTTCATTTTAACATTTTCTACCTGTCACTGACTTCATCAGTTCTCAAAATCTGTCCATTAAATAGCTAACATTAAAGCACATATGTATTATAAGCACTTTTTTGATTATCCATTCACCTTACTATGCTTTCCCCCTACTTGCTTCAAAAAGCTACCTAGGGCAGCAACACTGGGTTGAAGGGCAGCTGCCAAAGCAGAGTTATTCAAAAGGTCTTCTCACCTAAGGACTTGAGTGTTTACAGTGGAGACTGAAGCAGGAAAGCTTTACATAAAGATTCCAAAATTGCAGAAAGATTGTGAATTCCATCATCATCCCATTCACTTACCTGGAAGGCTCCTCCTGCCCCTCCACTCTCTCCCCCTGCTTCCATAGAAACCAATTCAATCATTTCAGGTGTTTATGGGAATACTAGCTAAAAACAGTGGGATGCATTACATGGAAGGGCTTTAACTGATGGTTTTTTTTATAATTTCTAAATTTCTAAAGCAGACTTTTACAGATGTATTAAAAAGACAAGTAGAAGTAAGTTCACCCACAAATGCTTTAATTCAACGTAAATATAATCATGTATTAAGAGTAAAGAGGACACTACTTGGTGGTTAGATGTGCTGCTGCCTGCACAGGAAACAGGAGTAAAGACTGCATCACCACAAAAACCAGGTAGGAAGTGAGCTCTGTCCTTTCAGAGAGGGCAGCATCTTAAAAGAGGAAACGAATGCTAAAAGCAGCACCAATTTGCTTCATTAACTTCCTTACTGAGATGACAATTTTAAGCATTTATTCCATAATTGAAAAACATTATGAAAACCTAGCATAACTGTACACCTTTTTCTCCCCTAAAAAAACCATGAAATACCTGTACAAGGAATGTACTTTTACAGCTTTTAGCCTCACAAATTTAGCGACCAAATCTTAATCCATTGGAAACAATATTTTTCTTTTTCCTTAAGAACAACTTGTACCTCCCACTGATTTAGGAAGTTCTAACAGACGTGGGGGTGTGCAGGGAAGACTGTTTTTTGAAAAATGGGAAAATTAGCTCAGAAACAATTGACTAACACAAGGAATCATCTTCCCTTTATTTAAATTACATTTTGGATTTTGCATGCTAGTAAAACAGTACGTCAAGAATTCAAGTTTTTGCATTTAAAACTGACATGCATCTTGAGCAAAACTGGCATTACAAATGTGCCTGTTGAACGACAATAAAATACTTAATAAAGGCAAGTCTACATAAAAAAACCTCCACCCCCTGACATTTCTTTCCATATTTGGAAGTATCTGTACAGTTCAAAATTATTAGACACATTCCAATTCTAGCTACAGAAGCTAAGTATAATAGCTGGCGTTTTTTACTGCCTGAGGAATACTCTTTAAATTGCTTCATCACTCCCTTCAACAAGTTTTACTACTTTTGACCTACACAATAGAACAGGCTTATACTTATCTTCGCCTCCTTCTGGTTTTCAAAGTATAACTGAAGAGTCTCTGACAAATTTAATCATGATACCATGATAAAAAGAAATACAACCAGTTTCAGATAGTTAATCTGTACCTAATACACCCTGGAAATGCAGTTCTCCCTATCTACCACTAGATAGAAGTCTGATCAAGTAAAAACTAAGCAGGGGTGGAAGACAATTTAATAACTGAAAAAACATCTGCAATGCCTATACTGGAATTGCCACCAGACAAAATACCACACACCAAGTGAATTATGGTATGCTTACAACAATGCATAACTTCCCACCTTCACTTTACATTAATGGGAGGGAGGAAGAATGGAAAGGAAAAATCCTGTTGCTTAACATGTGAACCAGTTTCTCCTAATAAGATCTAAAGAGATACAGATCACAAACAGACCTGGCACCTGTGAACATCTCTGTATTTTTCATTGCTAGAACTCTATTTCTCTTGTCATGCAATTAATGTGCAATCATATTTTCTGGTGTTTGGCTTGTTAATGCTTGACAAGCCAAAGTAAACTCATCTTTGAAATTAAGCATGATCTGCAGACCATTGAGAAAATCCAATTTGGAACTCAGATTGGCAAATCTGGATATTCATCTGAGATAAGAGAATGAAAACACAAAATACACTAATACAAACCCATGTCCTGAAGGAGCAATGAAGTATAAACAACACTGCACTCTATTATCTGGCATCTGGCGTCTGTTCACTCGAGATTCTGCATTCAGGTAGTCCTCAAATTTACTGTCAATGTAGTCAATAACTGGCTGCCAGCTGCAGAGATTACATGAATAAAAACCTGTAAGTTACATTATTTACATAAAGAAACCTGGTTCTGCTAAGAAATAGGTGTTCACAATTTCCCCACAGCTTGGGGTGGCTTTTTTTGCTTTTCATTTCCTTTTTAAAATTAAGGTACTTCAACACTGCAACTGACCAACTCCTCAACCTAAAATTGAGTTACATAGTTCTGAAGATACAATGTGTGAGTCCACTGAAAAAAACCTTTCTAACACAATCACTTTCATTGTAAAAGCATTAAAGAGAATACTTAAGAACTGTAGCTAAAGTAATATCCTTCACTGATCACATCTTGTGACAGCACAGAAGATGGTTCTGCACACTGCATGTGTGGACAAAGAGCCAAATGCACCATTCAGTTTAAGGGGAAAGGCTGACAGCATTTCAGTCAAGTTATGCAGGTACTTGGAATTACAGTAGTTACAAGTTTTCAGCTAAATGAAAAGTTTACAAGTGTTAATATTTTAACTGAATATTGAAGCCTGCATTTTAAAATATGCCACAAGGTATGTCTCACACACAAAACATAATGCAGAATTATCTTGGGAGAACATACAAAGAATGTCTTACCAATTACTATTATCCACAGCATCTCCAAATCCTGGTGTGTCAACTATTGTGAGTAGTAACTGAACACCACCCTCTTTGATTAAAACTTTTGACTGCTCAACCTGTAAAATGAATACAGTAAGATTAAATTTTTAGCAGTTTAGTCACCTGTCTTAAACACTGGGAAAAGCATTCAATGACTGAGAAGCCTGACAAAGAATTGCTACCTTTTCTGCTTCAGAAAAATACACCGTGTCTGTGTTTTGCTTATAAAATCCAACTAATTTTACAACAATTAGTAATTTTTTTAAGAAAAAGGTCATTATTTAAATAAAGTCAGTGATAAAAGAACCCTCTAAGTATGTGGGATATTTTAATACTTAAATTCCTGATTAAACAGGAAAACCTTAACCAGGCATTAAACTTGATAAAGTTGCAAACTTGGTCACTTCAAAGAAAATGACATTTTTCAAAACTAGTCCTCCCCCCAAGCACCTTAGACAGTTCTACTCCTGTTAATGTATTTTTAAGAATACATTTATACTTCAGCTAGGATAATGGTTGGGAATGGAATCACAAAGTGATGGTTTACTATTACAAACAGAATTATACTGGAAAGTGGTACAATCTGGCTGCAATCTGCTGAGTAGACCTCATGTGACTGTAATGGACTGGGTTCCTGTTAGCTCAAGTCACGGATGGAAACCCGCCTCAGAAGGCAACTGCATCAGCACAAGGAATGATGCAAGACTGGGGCGTGGGACTTCATGCCACCAGTTGTGACCACCCAACCGCAGCACAGCTCAGGCAGCTTGCAGTGAACATGTCATCCAACAGACAGAAGAACCAGGCTAAACAGCACATGGACTGCTACCCCTTCTGCCTGCTAATACTTCAGTAACTATTGATATTGCCAATGTCAGGCCCATCTGCCTGAGAAGGTGCTGTACACCACTGTCCTATCAGTGCGATGCACAGCAGTATGAAATGACAAACTCAGCTTGGCTTCTTTCCACTTGCTCAGACATTTAATCAACCTTTTCTTCCTTGATATAAAAACAATTGCTATTAAATCACTAGTGACACTGTTTTCTTGATATGGATTCAAGTTATCACCCATGTAAGTAATTTATCCAGAACCACACGAGAGCCAGAAGACTCAAGGTGAATGAGCACCTTGTTGCTCATTGCTTAACATTCCTTAAGCCTCACAAACCCTAACTCAGAAGAGAAAAGAAAGTTCTAGTTATAATAAACCCTACCTGGATGGTCTCTTGACCAGTTCAAGATTTGAGAAATGTCATATTAATGCTTCTTAAGCTCTTGCACATCTCTAATTGTTATGCAAGTGAACTAGACTCTCACAGCCACACCTGAACATTGTTGCAAATGCTCTGCAATCACTTATGTGATGCACTGTAAACCCACAAGATAAACTAACACTGCAGAAAGTTGAACTAAATCCCTCTTGCACAAGTGTAACACTGATTCCAATTCAGAAGAGACTATCCAGAATCACAGAAAACAGTAACTACCTATAAAGAAAGCTTCATATTTAACCTCTGAATGTGCAGCATGCTGTTTTTATCTACTCATCAGCAGGGATCCCACCCAAGTTGGATCAGTCCCTTTTGTTGCTAGTTCTCAAACAGTTAATGACTACCAGGATACTGGCCACAGAAGTATCCAGGTTGGGCTGGGCTTCAAGACCACCCAATTCCAACTCCAACATGAACAGGCCTAACTGCAAGGGTAGGAAGGTGTGAAAAAAAAAAAACAGGAATCAAAACCAAACAAACAAAACTGTACACACACAGTCTAAACCACCACCAAGTTACTCTTTCACAAACTATACAACTCTCATCCTTCCAAAAGTGTGCAGCTGAAAGCCATGAGAACCTAGGAATACATGCACGGCTTCAGAAATGTACATTTTAATTATGGTGAGTGTATTTCCCCCATCCTCCAGAGTTCTATCAAGAAATTTTATTATACACAGTTGATACCAGAACTTAAGACAGTAATCCCTTGCCATAGTCAACTCAGCCAAGAGTTTACTACTCACAAGCTTTAGCACACAAGAGATTAACTTCTGATTCCTTGCATTCTTTTGGCTATCTTGCAGATAGTAATTACACAGCCCTCCTATTACTAAGCTCTCTGCAAGTATACAAAACCCACAACACTTGCAAAATACTAGAGATGATAATGTTAAGAGATGTACTCTAGCCAAGAGCTATAAGGTATCAGCTTTATTCTCCAGCACAAAAATTCCCAGCAAGAACCATTAAATTGTTATGGGCTCATGGTGGAATGCCTTTACAAAAGAAGCAATTAATAAAACATTATCTTGAACATCTGTTTATAACAAAGGAAAAGAAAGGTCAGGGATCTCAGAAATGTCAAGCCAAGCATTTTCTCTGATTCTGCATGCTTGTAAAAATCTGAGTGTGACTGAATTTGTGAAGTCACCTTCTGACAAATGGTCTGCAGCAACTGAATATCTGCAGACAGTGCTAATACATTACTGGGTTGTGAGGATTTAATTTTTTTTTCTTACTTTTCATAAATTAATGTAGGTATCTGCTATCAGAGCAGGGTTTTCACAAACCTACAGAACAAGAGACATTAGCTGATGAATTAAAAGTCCTATGCTTGTGCTGTGGACAATCAGACCACATGCAGGATATACTGTAAGCAGTAGTTTCTACTGGTAGGAAACTGTAGACGAAGACCCTGCCACAAAGCCTCCACAAAGTTGCATTTTTCTAACCTAAATGGATGTGTCCATACATGGTCAAAGGCACAGAAAGCAGCAACATCTGGAACAGATCCAGAAAATCACTGTAAACTAGTGTCATTCACAGTTAAGCATCCAACTGCATCCCATCATCTGATTTACAAGTATTCCCAAGGGATTCATGGAAAACATTAGTTCAAGTCTTGGAATTTAAGACTTTTTAAGAAAAGTCTCCTCCAAACAGCCATTTTCCCATGCACTCCAGTCAGCTGGGTCACACGGGTCTCCTTGGCAGTTACTACACAGTGTTCATCACTTGGTGCTTGTTACAGCTCGACTGCTTTTTACTGGATGAAACATGTCTTTGCCATCCTGCATTTAAGGCAATCACGTAATGATCAGAGAAAACACATTTAATACCCTCTCATTTCTGATATGTTTCCTTTGAATTCATCTGACACCAAATCACTTACTCTTAACCATTCTTCTGCATTTTCTATGAGATAAATGCAAAGGAGCTGCCTCACAAAGCAACTCCAAACTGCAATGGTTTTCAAGCCCAAACCACAGTTTGAGTTTATCTATGTGAGAGCCTCCTACACAATTCCTGACCAGTAAGTTGACCCCACCATATAAGAAAAGGTGATTATTACAACCAAGATCTGAGGATGCTCAAGTGAGGTAGTCTCTCATCCCTACCCTACAAAACCCTTTTATCAATCCTTAAAAAGGTTTTCACTGGCAGGGAGTACAAATCCAGTGGATCCAAACAGCAACTCCCACTGCTTATTCTTTAATATTTGACAGGAAACACCTCCACATTTTACACGTTGCTACCACACACAATTTTCAAGCTTGTAGGGGGAAACAATTTTATCCTTACTTACACTGACAATGAAATAAGATCGTTTCAGTTTCTTTCTTAAAATGCTACACTGACTTTTCATTCATCCCAAGAAACTGAAAGCAAAGCTGCATTTTAAGTATATTTAAAAAGCAGTACTTATTAGATAAAGTCAAAATTTGTTTCTAGAGGGGAAGACAGTCTTTAAATCTATTTCATTCCACCATATTATTTTCTAAGTCATGTCAGATCCCAATTCAGTATAGAAAATAGCTTTGGCAAACTCTTGGCCTCAAGCTTAGCCCGCATAGTGGAAAAGTAAGAAAAAAATGTAATGGTTTTCAGCCTGAGCTGTGTTCAAGCCCTTTTCTTTCCCTCTCCAGCTTTACATAGGAAAAAAAATCATTAAGTGACGATTTCTGAAAAGTATGTCTTTTTCTTAAACCAGTAAATCAATACAAATCAAACCACCCCAATGGTCAGAATTAACAGCAGATGATCTAATCTTGCCCCCTAACAGATGAAAGTACTTAACTCAAATTCCAGAAATTCCACACATATTTTCATATTTTTTCTTACACTGATGCACCTTTAACTAGGGGGAGGGTGACTTCTCTGGAAGATGTCTTGGTTTGGGTTTTTTTGTTAGCTTGTATACAAATTCTTCCAAAGATTTTTCCCAACTGAAAAAACCAAAAATCTTCCAATGACAGGGAATCCATCCCACAGTTATTTAAACAAAATTCAATGAACATAACCTGAGTTGGTTTAGCTTCTGCTAAACTTAAATGTAATCATCAGTAATGAAATCATGCTATATCTTCCTTCCAATAAAAAAGTCACCCATCTATTCAGTTTTGCAACAGTCACTGACTGGCTCAGTAATAAGTATATTATATGAGAGTTTAACTCTCTGCACTCCTCTTCCATCCCACTTAACATCTCTGAAACAAGTAAGCCATTTCATGACCTTATTCAAAAATGGTCTGATGTTCCTGATAACAAGCTTTCAAGTCAATTTTGTCACTGGTTTTACATTTTGGTTTTACATTAAACCGATAAAGCAGCATAACAGATATGAACAAAGCTTAGACACTATTAATATAGTGTTAATCAAACTCTGGATGTTCAAAAGCTTTCCTCCAATAAGAAAAAGTGATATTCTGCAATGAATTAATTTTGTAATAGTGTTCAAACTTTAATATTGAGCTAACTGATTAGCAATGCAATTTAAGCTTCTTGACAGGGACATAGTAACTAAGTTTTTTCTTCTACTGTGGTTAATTATTCTGACATTGGAATAAAAAAAAATGTCTTAAGAAAAACCCCAAACAAAAAACCCCCCGAGGTCCCACAAAGCAATAAGGACAGTGGTTCATGACACTGGAGCTTAATTACTTGATTCCAATGAGTAAAAAAGCACTCTATTTTACAGCTTCTGTTTAGCACCTTGCACACCCTCCTAACTGAACACAGTTTAATCATTTTATGGTAACTCTGCAATTGCCCAGTCCCTTCAGCCACAGTTGGAATTTTGCTGCTGGAGAACTCCGTTGGACAAAAGAAGCAATGGTCATCACCCTTGGTCCTCACCTGTACAAAGTTAGATTATCACAAGCTATCTTCACCAAATTCTTAAGCAAGTGCACATCAAGAGAGGTAAGCAGAGCTCATGCATCCTTATTCAGCTGCGCAGCTCTGGAGGCAGGAAGTACCTCAAAACCACAATGATTTCCTAAACTACACATAGCATTATTATTCCTTAGCATTAGGTAGCTGTTCTTTTTAGCAATCTTTTTATAACACAGAAAACACGCTCCTTTTCTTAGAGAAAGTAGCAAGCAGCAAGTTATTGCACAAAAAAAAAAAAAAAAAGATCAGCAGAAGCTTTCCAGTCTTTGGCTTAATACTTCAGTTGCATCATGCACTTGCAGGAACATCATCTTTGCCTAAATCTAGTGCTTAAAGTCAGGCAGGTTCACCCTAGTCCCTGATGTTTTAGAATAACAACTTGTAACAGGTAAACAAGGTACCACTAAGGATACTGCCAGCAGAAGACTCGCAGATACTTTTATACCCAGGTCCCTGCACTTCTGCCAAATCATTTACTATTTGATCTCTAAAAGCCTAACAGACAGGTTTTACTGCACATCTATGTATTTCTACAGATTTACTCACTATTTTAACTGATAATAAACACTGCATTTTCAAAACGTTCTGCACATATATGTGCTTTTTAATATACAGGCAAAACACAAAACAATTCAGGGCTCTCACATTTCAACAGGCTACAGGTTTGAGAACCTGAAAGTTTTGCTATTCAGACCCGCTGAATATTTCTCAGTGGTTCATATCATGACTAAATGTATCTTGAAACTCAGGTGCTTATGTGACAACTTACATCACCTAAATTGCAAGCTACAATATTCAGGCTGTACCTTTTTTTCCCCAGACATACCTGTACGGTCTTTTTAATTCTGTGTGAAGGACCTGGATACTCTGGGGAATACAATTCTGTTAAGAATAATGAGTTGATTAATGTTGATTTTCCCAGTCCAGATTCACCTAGAAGAAAACAGAACAGTTTCAGTAAAACCAGGACCATCATGTCAAATATAAACATTTAGATACACATTTCAAACTCTCTTTAAACATAGTACCTGAAAACATGCACTGCACTCTAAGACTTTGAGAATCTATCTTTTCCAATTTCAAGGAAAACTTTTCAAATCCAACTGTCACTGTTGGGCTCTACACACACTAATTTTTGTGATCATATTAAGTATCGAATGAGTTCAGCACTTCTGTCCATTTCTCCCATTACAACACGATATTACATTGGATTTTATACACAAGCTATCTTCCTGGTATAACTCATCATAATGCCAAAGTAGATTAAGTTGTCTCCTTTATTTCAAATATTATTTATTTGAGAGTCTTTTATTATCAGGGAGGGAAAAAAGAAGTGGGGGCAGGGGGGAGGAAGAAAGACTGAGATTAGCTTGCTATAACTATTAAAGCCAAAAGAGATAAAATGAAGTTTCAAACTACAGGGTTTTCCTGGGAATTTTGTTGTTGTTGGGGTACAGAAGGGGGCTGGATTTTATTAGGCTTTTTTTGATAATTTCTTCACAAGCAACAGTAAATCAGTTTTGCTGAAGAATCTGGAGCCACTACTGCCATGACAATCCAAGCAAATACAGCTAAACACACCACAACAAAGATTACCCTCCATTTACAGTTCTACAGAGACAAGAGCAAGCATTTCAGATCAATTATTTATTATTTTAAAAGAAAAATCCTTTGCTTAGTTTTTGGGGGTTTTTTTGTTAAGAAACTACTTCAACGTGACAATTCACACTGGCATGAGAGCTAAGGAAAAAGGTATTAAAAAATGTTGCTTTCTTTCTGTTTAGGTTTCATATGCAGTCTGTCTGTCAGTACATTGACCTAAACAGAAACAGACACAGATAAATTTGCTTTCAAGCGAACAAATTTAAAGGCAAACCATGTACTTTCACTGAGGGAGGAAAATGAGCTGAACTGGGCCCATAATTGAAAGGCAAAACTTCACTAAAGCACTGATCACTCCAGCCCCAACAAACATTGTGTCGATTTAGAGACTGAACTGAGAAAACTTCCAACCCTGTTTTGAGATAAATGTCCTGGGTTAATACAAGAGAGTTATGTAGCAGAAAGCAGCTTGGAGCTGTCCCCCCTGTAATAGGTATCTGGATTTCCTACTCGAGCTGGCTCACGCACAGCAGCCATCTCGATTACAGTGGTGTAGCAGAGCGTCTGCAGCACCGAGCAGAGCAATCTCATTAGCGACACTGGAAACGGATTAGCAGCTGATGAAACACTGCAACCAGAGCTCCTGCCGGCTGTCTGCGCTCCCAGCAGGGCTTGCTCTTCAAACCCCACCCTCGGACAGATGAGCTAACCCGCGCTGCAGGAGCTGCCCACGGCCAGGCTGATGGAAAGGGAGATAGGAACTCAAGGTATGGGTGTCAAAAGGGAATGAACACTAACCCCACCAGGACAGGTTTAGGCAAGCCATCAGGGACATGCTTGCTGACAAGATTTCATCCCTGCTGTCCACATTTTGCCTTTTTCCATGGTCAGATGCATGAGACACCTATGAACTATGCCTCCGAGTCTGGTCATACAAGACACAGGTTTTCTACTCTGCATTTGCAAGACTTAAAGGGCAGGGTCAGCTGCAGCTGAGGGGCCTCCCCACCAATTCGGCAACAGAGAGAAGCTTCTGAAATGCTCAACTTTCCAATCTCATAGAAATCTCATCCTGGTTAAAGCTTAACCTCCATCTCACAACCCTGCTCAAGAGATAGACAGCATTCCAGTTAAACTGAAGGTTTTTATCCACCCTACTGAAGCCCTCAAGAGGGTGGCTCTGGTTTTGAAATGTACAGTTCATATCCTTTCAGTGACCTTCACTTTTTAACTTGACCATAATCTTGTAAAAGGCACCCTATTACAGTATTGAAGACAGATATTAGCATCAGATTCTACTTGAGTATACAAAAAGGGTTGCTTGCCCCTTCTTTCTCCCTCTTTCTATTATGGTTACTGCCAGTCTTAATATGCTGAGGAATTTCAGGTGAAAAAACACTGAAAACAACCACTTCTCCTGAAAATGAGTGCCTGTCAAGTTGTCATTGAAATTCAACATATGGAAATAAGATTTTCAGCTTCAGAAGAGAGTAATGGAAAACCAGCATCTTCCCCTGGACGGCTTGGGCAGCTGTGGCACTCCATACCAAGCAGTCCCTGAACTGCTGAAGCATTACACCCCGAGAGAGATGAGGTTTGTTCCCCTCCTCACCCTTCACCACCCTCACAGCTGCGAGGATGTGAAGACAATTTTTGAGATGCAATTAGTGAAAAGAAAGTATGCTAAGGATATTTATGCTCAATCTTGTTCCCAAAGGTGCCCAGCATCCTGGATATCCTTACCCATCATGCTAACTTTAATCAGCCAGTGCAGATTACAACAGTTTAAACTGCTTAACTGCTAGCAGTAATTGAGGTATCACATGTAAGAGTCTGCATCAATGCACCAACCCTCGATGCAGTTGTGCCTAAGACCATGTAAGGGTCAACATTTGTAACAGCAGTAAGAGGCTATAATATCAAATAAAACAATCACACTGAAACTGTAGGTAAAAAAAATCTAACTGGAACATTTAGTATTCTACTATAGGAAGTCATGCTGCTTCCACTGTAATAAAACAAGATTTTCTCTGATGACTACAGTGAAAGCAGAATTCGAGAGATCAAGTGTAAGTGAACATTTTAGCAGCCTTTGTGGACACACTAAAATATTCTGATTTTCATTAGAAATATGATAAGTAAAAAAAAAAAAAATCCAAACCCCAACCAAAACAATCACCCCAAACACACACAAAACTCCCTTAACTACACAGCCAAACAAAACCCTCTGTCCTTCCCAGAACTACCAAAAAGGATTGCCTGCTGTAAAGGCTGGGAAATTAGCTTGCAAGGATGCAACAGGCTATGAATACAACTGAAAAAATTGCAAGGGAGAAGGGAATACAATTTTATTTGCCTTTACAGAAACAAAATGATACATCCCAAATAAAATGCATATTCCCATTTTCAGTGAGCACTTCTGATGAGATTTTGCCCTTTGACCATTGCATGAACTGACAAAACGATGCAATGTAATAGAAACTCTTCAACAGAAACAACTTCTAATCACTTAATGAATTATGATGTGGTTAGACCTAGGTGCCTAATTTAGAGTGAGCAATCTTTAGAAATTTGTTTTAAAAAGAAGAAATAAAAGAAAACATTTATTTAGCAAGGTAATCCTAATCCACACTGCTAATTATTTCTGGTATCCAGGTACTGTTTTTACCTTGCCCTTGCTCTCCCACTAAATATTTCACATAGGCTTCAAATTCTACTGAATATTGGGTTTTTTCTTAATTTTGTGTCCCATATTTATGAGCAACTTACCGTTTCCAAATGCTAACATTTTATCAAGCTGTTTTTATAGTCACATTCAAACACATGGAGCTGGCCACCCTTGCTGGTAGAAATAAGAACATACTTTTACTAACATACTTTTGTGAAGGAATACCTTCTGTGAGCCCTCAGAGGACTAGCAAAAGTTCCAACTCTTTTCAAGTCCATAAATTTCTAAATGGCTGTACAAATAGAGAGGAACTCTTCTTATCCACACTTGGGTTAATGATTACCTCTTGACCATTAGCATATTTATAAAGACAGCTCATCACTCTAACCTCTGATAGCAAAATATTTTCTTCTGTGAACAAAACATTGATCAAGTACCTTCCTTTTTTCCTACACATCTAAGACTAGCTGTAAACATGAGAAGAAACACCAAGGAAAAAAACCAAAAAACAACACATTCAGTCTCGTCTTTTATATATCAACAATATAGATCTCAAACATACTTCTGCGGGTCAGAGGAGACCACTGGCCACCACTGGGATGGTTTGCAAACCATGTAAATAGTCTCTAAAATAGTACTAAAGCAAGTAAGCAAAGGAAATTAACAACTAAAAAACTGGAACCATGGTGTACAATCTATGTGACTAGAGGAAAGCAGTGCTCAGGAAAAAAAAAAAAGTAACTAGCTCAACTGAGCTACATAAATCTTTCACCTTAATTTCCAAATCCCTCCTTATAAATGAACCAGAAATCTTAATCTGTGACAATCAGCTAGAAAATCTACTCACAGCTAGCTTGTTTCCATCAGTTCTTGCTATGACTTTTACCACAAAAAGCCTCAAATTGCCAGCATCTGCTCCCTGTGATAACAGAAGTGAATTGTTACCCTTAATGATGTTTTTTCACCATTCATTGCTGTGGCACATTGAGAATGTAGCATATTTCCAACCTCCTCCAACTTTCTAGCCTCTGCCATTCATATTCAAGTATCTATGAAAAAAAAAAATGGACAAGAAGTCCAACCTAGCTTTCTTTCTTCCAGCTTTATTTGTAATTTCTGGTGGAGACCTCCGTTTTCTCATTCATATATTGCTCCTCTCAATAATGCATCACACTACATCTTCTAGATACAACATCATTCTAAAAATCCAGGATCAGTTTCCTTCTATATTCTTAGGATCTTGTTTTCTAAAACTCAAGCCCCAAAAAAGCATGACTTGCATTCTTAGATTTATGACCTCATGTGAGAGAGCTCATTAAACAGACCAAGTGATCAAGGTGAGTAACCAATCTTGAACATGCTCAGCGTGCTCTCTGCATGACTTCCTACCTCTTCATTATAAGTTACTCTTGCAGAAATAACCAGAAGTTTTCTACTCTTCACTAACAATTACTTGGCTACCTACCAGTGAGACAGTATTTCATGCTTATGCCCTGTGACAGTCAACTGCACCACTGGGAACATGACCACAAGTGCTACGTGTATTTAGGAATTTCAAGTTGCTTTCCCAAGCTCCAGGTGGGACTACAAGACTGCCAAGGAACCACCCACCAGCAAGAAAAATGTTCTGCAGCACTGGAAGCCAAGACTTCAGTTAAACTGC